CGATTTTAATTTAGGGCCGGGTTTTTGTAAGAAACTAACAAAATTGATACTAACAAACCCAACAACAGTCTACCTTTTGTTCCTGAAACCAGCTCAAGAATTATCCACCACGGGTAATCAGCCCAGTGTTTTAGCGTTGTACGTTTGTAACTTTACTGCTGACCCATTTGAGGACGTGTCAGTTAATGGACACTGTTTGTTTGAAGTTAAGCACAAAGTTACACAATGATTTATCTGTGCTCTGCCCGCCACGTGTATACAAACCAGGTTTCTAGCGTTTAAGTCCGCAAACAAACCGCTTGTGCATCAAGGGAAAGCTTGTGAACGAAATGAAAAATAAGCTTATTAACCATAAGCCTCATTATAATCAATCTCAAAATTACACAAAAACAGTGAAATAAATAGAAATAGATTTTTTTGTATAAAAATTCAAATATCAAATTGTGAAAAGCCGTGTTTAATATCCTTTATTCAACTTATTGCATATTTTGATTAAATGTTTTGTCTGTATATAATATTTCTATTTAAAAAATCTCGTTTTTAACTTCTTTTTTTTTTTCCGAACGATGCAGCTGCTGCAATATTTATGTCATTCTACCTGTTATAATAATGTGATAATCACAACTACACGATGGTAGGAAGCCATGACAGGTATTAGAATCTAGTGCAATTGATAAGTGCTTTGCACTCAGTATAGACGTAGCGGTTGGTGACTACAGCGAGTGTACATTCGCTTGAAATTTAGTAAGTCAACAAATTTCATATTGTCTGAGTCTGTACTTTTTGACACAGTATTAGTTAAGTAATATTTTTCTTAGCACCATTTAGTAAGGAGCTAAAAATAAAATATGTGACCTTACTCCTAGTTCAAATAATTAACGTCAGTTAAATACTATAAATTAAAAATAAAATATATAATTGGAAATAAGTTATAACACTAAGAGTTGAAACAATGCTGTATTATATATAGTATTACTATTAGTATTATTATGTAGTATTAATAATAATAATTATTAAATGGTAAGTCCGATTCTCCCTCAACAACCAGTCTTAATATTAATAGTAATAGGCATGCAGTTATAAATATTTATTTATTTATCTTTTAGTTTAATTTAAAAATAAATACCAAATCATATTACAAATATTAATGTTAACCGAGTTGAAGTTTTTCCAATATTTGAAATGATATTGGTATAGCAGAAAAATTTAAAAATTGATGACTTTACAAAATAAGTTAGCCAACAACATTTGAAATTGTTTAGTTTTTTTTTTTAGTTTTCAAAGGCAAGTAATGAAGTAAGTATAATTTATCAAAAATATTTATTCAGTTATAAGCACCTTGACTGAGGAAGTTGATTTACAGCTAACCCTGTTTTATTCAAAAATTCTAAAAACAGTTTACCTAGATCAGCATACCTTTCTTCAAGAAGACCAACCTGGTGGCAGGTGGTCATTTGGCTCACTAACCACATCCTTGTATTCATTGGTACCTCCAACCTAAACATAACATTTCCCATCATATCCTCTTATGTGTTTAACAAATCTTTTGATTCAATGAATTATGACAAACAGCATAAACCATATTTTCAAATAAACCATTCTATAGAATTATAATTGTAATGTAAAAGAGAAATTCACAATCAGACCTTAGGAAACCTTCAGCAAGAGAGCTTATCATTGAATAATTAATATTTTTATTGAAGAATAAGGCTAGATCTAGACTTTCAAAAGTATGCTTATTATTCAAATATTAAAATTTTGTATTTATATGTTTTTAATATATTACGGGCACAAAGCACCATTTCATAGACTTAAAGGTGTCAGT